TACAAAACGCAATCAGACGACTGTTTTTTTCAGCTACTGAAGCCTTATTGGATTTTGGGGTGTTTGCACGGCATCTGTCAACACCTACTAGTCATTTACACTCGAGGCATAAAAGGAAAATTGGCTGCTTTTTTCTACGTCGTCTTCTACTATGGTGTTTTCGTTTTCGGACTATACAGAGAATTCAAACCGACTCAACTTGTCAGCTACACTCTAATGGAAATTTCTGTACTATTAAGTGCTATTAGTGTAGCCGTAGCTGCCTTGGCCGCATTAAGCTCTTGTGTTCGACATCAAAAGGAATTTTCCGAACTTAGAGACCAGTTAATAAAAGTGGAGGATGGCGCAAAAAGCCTGGGAATATGGAAGTCTTATCGAAGAATCAGAGCAGTTTCTCTGGCCGTTTTGGTCTTGACGCTGAGTGAATGGGCCGTGCTTTTAGGCCTTTCTTTGCAAACAGGAGGTTTTACAGGTGCGATTGTGTAATTTTTCAAAATTTCCCAGAGTCTATGCTATTTTTCTTTAGAAATTTTTCAGAGTCTAATGCACTGCATGATTCAACTATTTCCATTGAAAGTCACACAAATCTATCTACTGACTTGCTGTATGTGCATTCTGTTCATCAGCCACATTCTGGCGGTAGTTAATGCGAATATTCAGCCAATTTACCAAAGCAAACTACCTCCAATGTACCAGATGAAGCACGAAAGGACTTTGGAGAAAACAGTTAGTTTGTTGAGCGCATTATTGAGATTGTCCAAACTAATCGAGCGAATCTACGGGTTTCCTTTGGTGCTGCTGATGGCAGATTTGCAGATTATCCTTTTCACTCACATGTACATTTTTCTTGAAACTGGATTTGGTATCAAAGCCCTCATCAAATCGGCGCAAGTTACTTTGGCTATTATTTTTCTTGCGACTGTTAGTCAAATGGCTGTTAGTGAATTTAAGAGGACCCAACTGGAACTGCTCACTTTGCCGGTTAACAGCAACGTCCTATTTAGAAGAAAGGTGAGCCAGAAAGATTTGTTCAACCGAAAAAATTCAATCGGGAAAAGCCCTGAATGAAAAGTTTGTTTGCAGATAAGCGCTCTTATCAGGGGCGTAATTGAAGAACAGTATGAACTATCAGCTTATGGAATTTTCACGTTAAATGCCACACTAATTCAGACGGTAGGTTAGCCTTGAACGCACGCAAAACACCGCGAAACTAATCCAGTTTTGCTTTGTAGATGGCATCTTCCGTTGGGTTCTATTTGATCATGTTGCTCCAGTTTCAGCTGATGTTCAACCAAGACCAATCGGCAAAACATTGAGCATCAGCTTCCTAATAACACGCAACAAATAGTATAAACCTGGTAAAAAGCGTTGCGATTAAATCTTGACAAAAATTTCTCAACACAGAGCTAACAGCCAGTCATTAGCTAGGAATGAGCAGTTAAATGCTACTTGCATAAAACAGCGCAATAAAACTGAATGTTATTTTATAGATAACTTCTCTCGGTTCAAGGTGTTGCATTGCGGTTTTTCTCGATTATAGATGTCGATTCGACGGGAAAAATGGTTAAAATCGCATCTTAGGTAACCCAGTTTCTTCTCGCTTTTAGAGATTAGTTGCCTTGAAATGTTCTTCTTGCAAAAAATGTTTATCTGCTGCCACCAATGTTATGAAATCATGATTTTGTTCAATTTTTCTAAATGTGTTTCCGTACAGCAGCTCTATGTGAACATTGAGGAGAATTCGGTGTTTTAAGCAGTAATTTTCCATGCAACTTCCAGGGAATTGGAGAGTGTTTTCCTGATGACTTCGGCAAACATTGATTGAAGAAATTAGCCTTTTTTCCGAAGTTTCTGGGAATTTTTTTTTCTTTCAGTTCTTCCGATGGTAAATTGTTAGGTTTGGACAGGAATTGGCTAGGGAACATCAAAAATGTGCTTATTTCTTCATCCAACCTTTATTTCCTGCTGCATAGCGGACTGGTAGAAATTTTCTTGCTAGATGGTGGCTAAATGCGTGGGCTTTTGACCGTTTATTTCTAGTATCAGTAACAATTACTAATCAGGGCTTGGAAAGGTTGAAAAATTAAAAAATAATTGGCGCCGCTCTTTATTTTTAGGAAGTGTTAGTTAAATTGTTGTGTAGGAATTGTTGGTTAAAACCATTCACCATTGCGTCGATCTATGATAAATCAACAATAAAGATTTGTCTTCAATTCGCATAGAAGATTTTCCAATTAAAATTTTGAAAGCAAAATGGTTTTTTCGCGTTATTTTTATTGCCTCTATTTTATTTCTCGGTCAACTTTCTTAGCAAGAAAACTTCCAATTTTTAGCAGAAATACGCATTCAATTTTTGCAAGGATTTCATGATAATGTTACATTTTCATTCCTTTGATAAGCCATCAAATATATTTCCGCTTGGTGTACGTCCCAGCGTGCGATTTCCCTTAAATCCGGCAAATATATGTTGCTTTTTGCCACAGCAGCGAAACACTGAAGAAAATAAAATATTGCTCGCGAGGCCTATTGAGTAATTTTTTCTTCATTTTTATAAGGAATTCTTAAAAGGATTTTAAGCACTTTAGCAAATTCGAAATTGTCCCTGAGAGGATTTCCCGATTGAAAAATATTCAAGGTATCAACTTTGAGAATGAAAAACCAAATAGATTTTGGTAAAATAATTCGGAAAATGAACGGCAAAAATAAGAGCGGGGAAAATTAGCATGAAAGTAACACTTAAGACTCGAAAGCGCCAGAGATCTCGAAATCTGCACCCACTTTTCTACGTCCATAGCAAAATTTCTGGTTTTATTGAGTCAATTGAAAACTCCAACACTGAATATTCCAAATAAAATATATGAGGTAAACGAACAATTTGCAATAAAAGTGCTTTTTGCTCCGGACTGTTCATATTTCATGCAAAACTTTAGCTTTTAATGGCTGGCGAATGCGCATCATATTCCCTTCGCAACAACAAAAGTATAATTTTATTCATACTGGTGGAAGGAAAAATTCCTCAGCCATTACGCTAATGGCCAAAAAACCTGAAAATTACACTGTGCACTAATTAAAACCTTGAGGAAACAGTAAAAGAAGCTAGCGTGATATTTTAATTAATTCTTCCGGAAAAAAATTAATTATTATCGATCATTAGCAGACACACAGTAGCCAGGTGGGGAATTTAAACCCTTTGTTATATTTGTATTAATCGCGAAGGATAATGTAACATGAGAAACCCAATTTATTATACAAACGAACACTATATATGTAGACATGAATATCTAATCATTGGTAAGCTGAGGGAGAATGTTTGCAAAGGCTCGAGCAGCGAATGAGCAAATTTGTATATTTCAGCGCACATTTATAAAACATCTTCATTTATATGGGATTTTTCTAACATCAGGAAACCCTGCAGAAGGGTGAGTTTTTGAAAAAAAATTGATTGTAATTTTAAGGTTTTAAGTTTGCTATTTATTATAAAATTTTATTTAAATAATTTTGCAAACTAAAATGTTTGTTAACCGTTGGTTCTGTATTTGAGGTCGAATTTTATTTTAATTTTATGTCTACAGGCCAAAGTTTAACTTTAAATGAAATTTAAAAATTGCAAATAGCTTGAACCACCTTTAGGAGAAATCAAAAAATGTATAGAATAAAAATTGACGCAATACTGCGAGCAACAAACCAAAAAAAAAACACAAATTTGCAGGAAAAACCAACGAACTAAAACACTTCCTCGTAAGTGAAAAAGATAAATTGTCATTAAAACAAACATATTGGTTTATAAATTTTTTCCTCGGCTCGGTAATAACTATCAATTGATTCCTTGAAAAACGTGTTATTTCCAATAATCCAAGTTGCTAGTAGTAAGTATACTTTTATAATTATAATCTCTTAAGTGAATAGTTAAGTGAATAACAGTGGTGTTTACGAAATGAACCGAGGATTTAATATAAATATTAAATTGCCGTTTAATTTACGCAGGCACACGCAAATTTTAGATTGTAAATTGGATTATTGGCTTTCAAGGTTGATTCTTCAACATCAACAAGGTCTAGGTTCATAATGAAAGTCATATATATTGTAGTTTTTCCTCTGACTTGGTGTTCCGCAAACTGTTTTGAAACCACATTTTTTTGGTCACTTTTTAATTGTTTTTCGACACATTTTGGCAAGTTCAAGGTCTATTCTATTCCTGATTTTATTTCTGCTTATGGACTGAATTAGAAATTTAGGTTGTCGTCGAAAAGTTTCTTCCTGGCGTTTCGCAACCACTAGTGACTTCCATCTTCAGAGGTGGTTGCTGCCTCAAAAAACGCCGATTGTTTCGGTACCCGTGAATATTTCCCTGACCCCTTGAAAAAGTGTCCATAAATTATAAAAATCTCCTTTGAAAATCGCAACTGGTTTGCTAATAATAGACAGAATGTCGTTTTGCTAATAAAACTACTTCTGGTTCCTGTAAATTTTTTTTATTGAATTCCGTTAGCCTTTACTGGAAATATCACGTCTGTTGCATCGTGCTATATTCACTAATTTGCATGTGTTTCGATTGATTTTTTCATGTCTTTTTTACCTTCATTATTATGGCTTTTCTCTGATTAATTGCCGTGATAATTTTTCTACTACGCGATATTTTAAGTGTTTGAAATATCCGCTTGCAGGTGGGCGTGCTGTGGAAGTTATGATGCATGAATGCCAGCCATTAGGGATTGGTTGGTTTATTGTACAATATATGGAAATGTATCGACAATAAAATATTCAATCAATGTTGTTTTTTCCTTTAGGCATTAAGAAACCATTGCTGAAGGGGGCTTTTAAAGTTTCTAAGCAATTTAATCCATCAGCTACATCTTAGCTGCGCTGATTAACTATAATTTATTAGAAAGATTTTTTTGTAACAGAAAAAATGGAAACTCCGAAAGCGTCACAATTAACTATCCCTAGTAGAACAGGTCGGACTACCTAGTTAACATAACCGATAATTTTTGCGGCGCGAAGACATTCAAAGTAATACTTGTTGGTGATGGTTGGGGATCTCCCTAAAGCCCACGGCAAGCCATGTGGGAAATTCAAATCGTTTAGCTTCGACGTGTGACCGAGTCAAAATAAAGGACAATATTTTATTGTTCACGTGCATAAAATCCGCATTTCCAGTCTTTGGCAAATTAGAAGGGTAACAGAAGAAATAGCGCGGCCTTGTATCGGGACAGTCGGACGGCTAGTTCTTCGCTGATGTGATTTTTAGTCACAGACCGGGTTAAGTGCAATTACAGAGCCGGTGGCTATCTAGGATTTTCGTATAATTTTTGGTAAGTTTTCCACAGTCTTAATTAATTTTTTAACATAAGTTTTTTGTGAAATTTTAATAAATTCAATACAAATGAATGAAAATTAATGATTTTTGAAGCATCGCTGTTTTTAACCTAATAACCAACGATAAGTTGCCGCTTTGTCGCTTCAAACCCTAAGTACTCATTATTCACTTTAGAGTTACATTTGCATTTTCCATCCATAAATATGGTTGGATTATATCAAGTAGTAAATCAGCATTTACCAAGCATTCTTCAAGCAAGTGCTGAAATTTAATATTCCTTATTGGGTTCAAGTCCTCTTGCGCTTCTTATTAAAGTGATTTTAAATTAAAATTATTTGCATTATCCAACTGAATTTTAAGCTAATTTAAGTCTCCTTGATTTAATTTAAAAAACAATGCAAATACAAATTGTATAAAAGCAGCCACCGTATAGTTGTCCATCCTCACTGAAAAAAACCGAAGTTTCCACATAATTCGCTATTAATAGTTGAACAAATCCACTAATCGTTAAACACCCATAGCCGATATGAGACAATCGATTCATGTAAAATTCTGTTTGCATATAATAGGATAATTGCAATGCGGTTTTAAAAGTACTTAATAAATCACTTGCACGGGTGCAGTTCGAAAATGTACTGCAGCTACAAGGTCGCCTTTGCTTTGCATTGCTGTGTCCTTTCAAGTCCCAATTAAAAGGAAAAAAATGCAAAATGCCCACTCAACAGTGCGTGGAGGGTGAATTATATCAGATCTTCCTTAATTAACAATACGCGGAAAACCGAAGCAGCCTTGATTAATTATAAAAGTGAGCCGAGTTATATATGTAAATATGTGCACATATAATAATGAACTAAACCAAGCGGGAAAAACGCCAAGAAATCACTGGAGAATTTCGATACATACTGTATTTGTTTTTATATTTAAATATTTTTACTTGAAGAAACAAACAAGCAGCGAGACCCTAAATGGAATAACTGGTTTTTATTCTGCGAATTTTCAAGTGGAAACCAATACTTTGATGTTTTGGTACGCAAATCAGCAAATTCTCTTCAATGGTCAACGACTTATCTTATCACGAAAAGCAGTCGTTATTTTGTGAGTCTTTGTAGGCTTGCAGGCATATTTAATTATTGCGCATTAAAACTGAAAATGATTCTTGCCCAAGATTTCTCGCCTATTTAAATACCTACGCAAATGTTGTTATTTTATGATAATGGGATTTAACTAATTCGCATTAAAACGTTCTAAAATTACATTTTTCGATCTGGATAAAGCGTTTAGCTGTTACCAAACGAAACATATCTAAATCCAAAAAATATGGTTGGTTTGGCTTCCTTATATCACTGAAAATTCAAATACTACAAACGTTATAAAAGTATGCGTGTTTTTAGGCGGTTTTGATTTTAACGTCGATATTATCTGAAGAAAAAGATGGTGCGTCCAACAATACCAGAATAGGAGTTACTGTGCTGGATAACTGAGGCCTTGTTTTAAATTATATTTGTTAAAATTTGGTTCTGTTCAAAGCTCTAGTACCGTTCAGAAGAATGTTTAAACTTCTGAGTATTTTTTCGCAGTTTTTCATTTTTACCGCTGCTGTGTGAGAATTCTGTTGAGATGTTGAAATAGGGATGCCCGCACTTGATAAAGAATACTTTTCTTGATTTATGTTTCTCATTTGGTTCCATTTGGGGGGCTATCGCCTACAGACAATTGTTTTAAACTTTGGAGTTTTTTGCTCAATTTTTCCATTTTAGATCAGCCTCTTTTGAAATTTATATTTGCTGAACAGGTTGAGATATCGAAATGGTGATGGCTGCATTTCATAAAGGAGGCTCTATTGTATTTTTGCTGTCAATTTTATTCCATTTCAGGTGCTGTTGTCGTCAGAATGAATTTTTAATATTTGGGGTTTTTTGGGCGGTTTTCCATTTTTACATCGGTCTCATCTAAACTCGGTTTCTGAGGAACCAGTTCAGGCATCCAAATGAGGATACTGGGGATCCATAGCGAAAGCTTCGTGTTACTTGGGATTTAAATTTCGTTAAGTTTAAGTTACCAGGGGTTTTACAATGAATTTTTAAATAGTGGAATAATACAGCTAATTATCTTGAAAAGAACAATCAACGTTTCGTCAAGAATTGCACATTAAAACTAAAATGCACTGAAAAAGTCCCGTTAAAAAGTTGAAGAATTAGCCACCCGTCACGATATAACCGAAACAGTAGTTGCGAAATGAAGCAAATCAAAGTCCAAAAAAATATTGGTTTTTCTCAGACTAATCAATATGCAAATCCTGGGGATTCGCCATTGAGCGAACATGGACAGCTTTAGGTGTGTTTTTCTTCTATTAAAGTCGTGTATTTTTTGCGAATCTAAAACTTTATGAAACCAATTTCAAAGTTGAGTTTTCCACTTTAGAGTTTATCCGCAATTTTCGGCACTCAGATAGGCAGCGCGGGATGCTTTGATGAGTTCAGTTGAAATTTCCGACTCTGCCCTTAACGCGAAGAAAATGTTCAATTCTTTGAAATTTCCCATACATTTCCTAATACGTAAATCGTTAAGTATCCAAGCGATTAGGGAGCAAATGGCCATTCAATATCAAGTGATCAAATAGACATCACTCAGTTATTGGAAAATTCACATGAATCCATTAAACCCGGCCGTGATGCTTGGCAGTAAGCCAGAAGATGCATAGATTTCCTGCATAATATTGCAAGAAATTTAATTTAAACTTCCGGAAGGATGACTTGGAGTTATTCTCATAACTCTGCTCGTAGCACAACGCGAACATTATGAAAGTTTTATTAACATGGAACTCGTAACGTGCAGAATCATTCATATATTATTTTCAACGGGAAAACCTTTATCTGTTTTTACAGTTCTGAGGCGGAAATGGATTCGAAATTTCAAAGAGTCAATAGCGACGAGAACGACAGTCCCATCCAGTTTTCTCCCAAGGAACAGTGGAGAATCTGGAAAAACGTTCTGGTGGTTGGATTCGCTTTTATGCTGCAATTCACCGCCTTTTGGGGAGCCTCCAACTTGCAAAGTTCCGTCAATGCGGAAGCCTCATTGGGCACATTCACACTGGCTGCTATTTACGGCTCCCTCATTCTATCCAACATTTTTCTACCAGTGATCGTTATAAGGTAAGATAAATGGTTTATTCTCAGAAACTATTCAGCAAAAAACCCATTTTCGGACTTATTAAGGGGCAATTTGCAGTAATTTCCCTCTTGACGATGGACAAAATGTGCTCAAAAAATGCAAGCAGGTCCGTTTGGAAAATTGTTGCTCAAAACTCCATAAATTTGTCTATGTTTCGTTCTTTTGATGTTCTCGTATGTTTTCTTTTGTATTTGAAATTTCGTCTAAATTACCATAGATTTTCAAAAGATGCTGAAATGGTGAGTTATTCGAGCTAACGTTTCGCTAGAACGAGTGGCGTGCATCTTTGTGAAGATAGTAAAAATTGTAAATTGCTTCAATTTGGAAGATGCAATTTTTTGTAAGAGAGGGCGCAATTGCTTAAAAACATATTTTCGTGGCCGATATTTTTTAAGGTAAAAAAAATGGATTTAAGGCGATTTTAATGAAGCTTTCATTATCTTTAGGGTAAAATGGTTTTTAAAGGTGACGAAATTTTTAAACTGCTAGTTTTCTTTAGTTTGGAAGATACGAATTTTTAAAAGAAAAAAAGAAACAGATATGTTAACTTTCAGATCCACTTTACTAAGTTGGTTAAAAATTTTAATTTTATGGGATTCTTATGTAAGTTTACGCACCTTTAGAGACGAGCGTCTACTAAACACCGTGAAAGTTGAAGCTTACTGCTGGCTTTAGTTTGACAGACGCGATTTTTTTAGCAGGAGCATTTTTTTAGCGAGGACGCAGTTGACCATTTTCGTCCATTATTGGACTGATATTCATTAGGGTGGCAAAAATCCTGATTCCAGGCGATTTTTATTAAACTTTCGACACCGATTGATTTGAGTGTGCACTAAATATGGTAAAATTTTTAAATTGCATGTAAGTTTAGTTTGGAAGACGCAATTTTTTTAACTGGAGAACACAGTTGATCATTTTCCTCCATTATTGGACTGATTTCACTAACGTGGCAAAAACCAGAATTTTGCCTGATTTTTATGAAACTCTCCACACCTTTAGAGCGAAGCGTCTTATAAAGATTGTAAAATTTAAAATTTTTGGCTTTCTGCCATTTGGAAGATGCGAATTTTTATAAGAGAGAGTTTAGTTGATTGCAAATATCCAGTATCGGAAGATGGCAAAAATTTGATTTTCAAGCGGTTTTTCTGAAACGCTTCTTTAGAGTCATGTATCTACCAAAAATTGTTAAATTTTGAAATTGTTGCTTGCAAATTTAAAAAAGAGAGGACAGATCTGATATTTTCTAAGCTGCAAAAACCAGGATTCACGGTGAAACATGGACATTTAGGGCTGAACAAACTACCTCTGAAGATGCAAGCAACTCGTACTAGCGAAACCAGTTTTTACATGAATTGTTTGATAACGCAATGCTATTGCCAATTCCAAATAATTCGCTCAATTCGTAAAAATACAAGTAAATTCATCAATCATCTGAAAGCTCTATAAAGCTCTAGAATGCGAAGGCGAACTGTTCGTTTCTATTGCATATTGACGACATTCCGAGTGCATTGAACAGGCTCAAAAGACTTCAAACTACGTCGTTCGAGCAATTGATCTTTCTATTGCAACTAATGGATTGAATCGACATTTATATTTTATTTATAGAGGAAAACGTATTTTTGGTAGTATTATCTCTAAAGGCGTTAAACCAGTGCATCGATTTTATGTAAAATAAAGCCAAACTGATGTTGAAGTTTTAATTATAAGGACGAAAAGAAAAATAACGAAAAACCATGTGATCAGTCAATATACTGGAAGTTTCAGGAAGCGAAGGATATTCGGATTACATTCGCGTAAAAATTCATATAAACATAGATGAGAAAAAACTTCGTTTAGAATATGCAGGCGCTAAATAAAGGCACCGAAGTTAGGAGAATTTGTCCCTCTAGCTAAACTTTTAAAGAAACCCAAAGTTATAAAGAATATGCACTACTAAAACTAGCCTAAAGCAAACCTTCAAGTCGATTTATTTAGAACCAAACCTGTCTAAAGACAACATTGTCTTTCTTGATGATTATCATCAGTCGATTCAACCATGACCTCACATGCCACAGGGGAAGTAGATGACAAGAACAAGCCTGTGATAAATGAAATAACCTACGGGCTCTCAAGGATGGCCTTATTACATCTAAGTTGAAAGTCCCCATTGTCTCTAATGAGCCAATTTTCTGTAATTTAGCTAATAAGTAAATACATGTTTAAATTGGCAAATAAAAGTACATAGTGTGTTTTCGATAAACACAGACAAAGAGAATTCGTTAAAATATGCAAACCGCAACAAAAACACTCTAAATAATGTAGAAGCTGGTGTTAATCGATCAATATTTGATTTTTGCACAAGCTAATTGTTTGTAAACGGGTTTAAACCACGTTGTCTGAATACGCGAGGCGACAGCAGCAAAATGCAATAAAGAAAATATTTGCATATAAATTCATCCTGGATCCATTGAACGGTTAAGACTTTGTCCTGACCTTACAACTCTTATTGCTCTGTTTCAGATGGTTGGGAGTAAAATGGACCATCTGCCTAGCCTTCCTGGTCTACGTTCCTTTCATAATGGCCCAGTTCTATCCCCGGTTCTACACCATGATTCCTGCAGGATTAGCTGTCGGCTTTGGAGGAGGTCCTTTATGGTGCGCCAAGTGCACCTACCTCACTATCCTATCAGAGGCTTATGCGAAAGTCACGGGAGTAGGGGCTGATATAACAGTGACCCGTTTCTTTGGGGTTTTCTTCCTGTTTTATCAGTTTTCCCAGGTGTGGGGAAATCTCATCAGTTCAGCCGGTAAGAAGAGTTTTAGTGAGGGGTTTTCAAAATGTTAAATGCTTGAGAGAGTCAAACTATTCTTGTGTAGACAAACCGGGTATTAGTCTGGGCAGCTTCTAACAGTGTTATTGGTCATCAGTAACCGTTTTGCTTGAAATCTAATATACTTCCAGCTGTGTTAAAGCTATTAATTAATTTTTTTCAGTGCTCTCATCTGAAGGTCCCGCAGTCGCCGCTCTCAGCAACTCAACGCTGAACAATATAACATTCGCAGATGTCTTCAACGTGTCCACAGCAACGAGGAATAGTGAAGAAATATGCGGAGCAAATTTCTGTCCTGGGACTGTTGTGGAAGCCATTCCAAATCTGGCTCCTCCTTCTACTTCCAAAATCAACACAATCACCGGAATTTATCTAGCTTGCATGATCGCAGCCGTTCTGGCAGTGGCTTTTGGAGTGGACTCCGTTAAAAGGTTGCTGATGAGGAAAATGCGAAAATTCTGGTCTAATTCGGCTGCGGTTTTCCAGATACGACCAGGGCAGGAAAGGCAGTGGTAGCGACATTTCCGGATTGAGACTGTTGGCTGTGATCGTCAAGCAGCTGGCCAATCCGTCTCAAATTCTGATTTTACCCATCACAATGTTTATTGGCGCCGAACAAGCGTTTCTGGCCGCCGATTTTACTTCAGTAAGTGCCTTTTATCCGAAAATATTGCATTGATTTCAAATGTATTTATTCGAAAACACTCCCAATCGATCCCCATTTTAAGATAGTTTCCGTTGCTCTTCATCCATTATGGTGGATTATCGCGGCCCGGTCATTTATCTTCGTATTTTGTTTGGAAAACCTTTCTACCAGACATTCATCTCTTGCGGTCGACGATCCAACAGCACCGGATTTGTCATTGCTTGTCCCGCAGTCTGGCAAATCCATATTCATTTTCATCCAATTTATATTTAAAACATTACACAAAAACATGCTGTTATTTTCATAACTTTTTATCATTTAAATGAATTTTTGCACGAGTGGTGAAAATTAGTAGTAGTTGACTTGTATGGACGGTTGGAAGACTTATCCAGACGTTTCCAGCAATCTACAGTTTTCAGTTTCTTCATATCCTCATTTTCCGTTATTTAAATTATTATTATTCCTTTGTCCGTTAGAGTTTCTACTCAGAGGCCCGTGTATATCTTAAAATATTTATTCCTGTGTCTATTATTTCGCGTGAAAAATACCGTTTTTAGGTAATTGTCCGCTATGTTTTAACACAGTATAACTTCCAACAAAAATGGGGAAGCATCTTGAAATTTGCACCATCCATAGAAGAGATTTGAGTCTGAGAGTCCGGAAAGTTTTAGTTAATTCACCTCAAGCGCCGATTTTTTCCAAACGATTCAATGTGACCTACAAATTAACACTCTCACACAATAAAAAAAAAGCAGATAATTTTCAGTGGTGCCTAAGTAGCAAGTTGAAAATTTCCCCACTTATAGAAAACACTTTGATAGTCCTGAAAGTTTCACTCAAATCGCACTGAATCCTAGTTTTTGCCAACGGAGTCAATGTTGACCTAAAGATGAGGCTCTTTGAGCATCGGTAGAACAAGATGACAATCTTAATCTCCCTGACTGTTTTATTAGCAAATAAAATGTTGATGAGGTGAAAAGCTGCCGATAGATTAAAGAAGTCTAGAAAAGTAATTCGATTTTCTTTTAAATATTTTATTCTCTTCCAGGCATTTGTTTCATGCGGATGGGGAATCAGCAATATCGGCTTCGTAATGATTTGCTTCGGAGTGTGTAATGGAATAGCGTCAATTTTTATTGGAGGAATTATCAAAATCACGGGAAGATCACCCGTGGTATGTTTGGCTCTATCTTTACATGTCGCACTAATTGTTACCTTGTTAGTGTGGAAACCGAGCGAACAGGCCAAATTAACATTTTTCATCATTGCTGGCTTATGGGGATTTTGCGACGCCATTTGGCTCGTACAAATTAACTGTAAGTATAAATTTCTAGCAGGAATCAAATGCTTTTGAATTGTATTCCAAGACTCCCGATCTTCAGTTTTTTTCTGCAAAAACCGCCCTATTTTCCATTCGGAGGCATAAAAATCACAATTTTGCGGAGCATCTGCTTCTCTGCTTAAAATTACGTCAAATTTATCTTTATTTGATCATTTTTTTAGCCTTGTATGGAATTCTATTCCCCGGCAAAGAAGAGGCAGCTTACAGCAATTTCAGGCTCTGGGAGTCTACAGGATCAGTGATTACTTACATCTACAGCCCGTACTTGTGCATTGATGTAAAGCTGTCTCTTCTGCTGTGTCTTCTTATCATCGGGGCTTGCGGATACACTGCCGTTGAGGTGATTGAGTGGAAAGGAAAAGACGGCGAATTAGGAGGAAAGAGGGAGTTTAAGCTGGTGAAAAGTGGCGAAAAGGAGAAGTCTTTGGAAGTTGCAGACTGATTGACTGGATTTTGGAAAAAACCTTGTACATAACTTAGTTAATAAGCATCTAGGTTAAGAGACAGCAGTTAGGCACTTAACTTGTGACTGTAAAGCTAAGCACGTAAACAAGTAATAGAATTTGTAGCAAAAAGATGTCCTTATTCCTTTCCAGACGGAAACCTTTATTGCAACGAATAAAGTGTATCCTAAATCCCAGTTTAAATTGGCATGGCTTACAGATGGCTGGAAAAATTTAAGAACCTTTCCGCCCGGCTCCTAACGATTCCATTGTAGCGAAGATCAAAAGCTGATTTTATAAAGGAAGCAATCCAGATTTTGCGACAGAAAGCGCGATTGCAAAACAGGAAAATCTATTAAGCCGTATGCCATGCATATAAGCAATGATTTAATTAAATATTTGAATCCGGTAAAGGAACAATGAAAGCCCACATAACTTTGCTAGGCAGGAAAGCCCCAAAGACACATTAATCACCGCTTGGTCGAGAGATAAGCAATTATGTACGCCCAGCCAAAATTCTAACAGGAAAAAAATCTGCATAAAAATGCCATGTAGTGAATATTAGGGGGGTTTTCAAGAAGCGACCAAATAAACGTAACAAAAGGATGTCGTTTAATATAGAGGAAAAAGTTGTGGAATATAAATTGCTCACTTAAATAAAAAAACATTTTTAGAATTAAACTGCTGCATTCCTTGTTCTAACGCTGCGAGCACTAAATATGCAACAGGCTTAATAGCTTTGGAAACAGAATGCAAAATATTTCGATCACTTTTGGGAATATATTGGATCGTTTATCTTAATAGTGGATCAACCCCAGTCGCTTTCAAACTCCAATTTTATTGTAAAGAGCAAATTAAATGAAAAATTCGAAACCAGGTTTTTATTGGTCGTTGTCGCAAAACTTGGTGCTTTTTGCTTTTTACATGGCCCGCTTTATTGAGCACATTTTGCTCTCCACATTTTCCTTCTGTTTCAGCAAATGGTGGATTATTTTATTGAAAATCCCTGGTTATCAGTCGATGTAATCCCCATAAAAACAGATTAAACACTCAAAATATTCTCCTAGATATTTCACGCAACTTTTCATGCGGTTACAAGCAAAATTAGCTCGTGAAAGCGTTGATTGAAAGAGTATCTACTCTTTCAATACTCAGACGCAATACATTTGCGAATGAGGTTTTCTTCAAGAGACTTTTCAGTTCTTGTATGAACTGTCTTTTTGTCGCATTAGGTAAAAAGTCTAAAATAAAATTGAAAGCTTGGTCGTTCAGGCCGCAAGAGTAGGCCGCAAATAGAACGGGAGGTCTAAATAGTTTGATAATCTGTGGTCTAAACAGAGACAAATTGCGACTAGAAAGTAGGCGTGAAGAAATGTCCCAAAAATCGGTCGCTTTTGGTCTCTTTCTTTGCTATGTTTGTTGAATTACCCCAAAGCTTATGTTGCCATGTTGTTATATTTATGGCATGTAATGCCAAAATAGTGATTTTTTTTCCTTATCTAATTCTTTGAAGAAAACCACACATGGTGTTGACTAATTGGTTTTCTCAAAAAAGTCCTGTTTTCAAGAGATTTTAGATTTGTGTGTTTTTTCGCGAGTTGCAAAATCGACTCAAACATGACGCTGCTTTTTTTGAAGTTTCTCAAGAACCATTTGAGCCACAAAATTCGTTTTGGCATCGTTGGATTGAGAATTGAACATTCGATTCAGTAATAACAACATGAGTGAGCGAATTCGAAGAGTTTTGCCTCAGAAAGCGAAATTTGAATATCAGACATTTAGGTACAAGATTATGCCAAAATTTCATGTTTTCCGTCCCGTTTTTAGTCATTTCTCGGAAGCAACATAAGCAAGAACGCTCATTTTTACATCATTACATAGACCACCAAATGGCCTTTTTAGAAAGTGAACCATCGATAAGTAAATGATGGCGGTTTTCTCAAAAAAGTCTTGTTTTCAAGAGGTTTTAGATTTGCGTGTGTTCTCAAACATGACGCTGCTTTTTTTGAAGTTTCTCAAAAACGGTTTGTGCCACAAAATTGGTTTTGGCATCGTTGGATTGAGAATTGAACATTC